CTCCAGACGAGGCCACCGCGCTGCCCATGGGATCCCGCCCGCCCGGGGGGGGGGGGGGGGCGCCCCCCGCCCCTCCGCGGGGTCCAGGGCGCAGGCCCCGCGTCGGGGCCGCCGCGGCGCCCCGGGGCCGGGCCTGTCCGGCGGGGCGTCCGGGAGCGTCGTTGAGGGCATCGCGCCTGCTGCCGTCCCTCGGCTCGCGCTGGAGCGCCCTCGGCGAGAAGACGGTCAGCAGATCATCTCTGAAGGGGCCCTGGGACACACACACACACACATTAGATACGCACAAATCGAACTGTTCCCCATAGTTTCCCGTATGTTTTGGGTTTCTGTCTTCCCCCCACTTCCCATATTTTCGCATATTGTGTCTGTGTGTTTCTTTCCCTCCTGAATCTCGCGTGTGGAAAAGCAGCTTGTGGATGTGGGAGAGGATACGATCGCCGAGCCTGATCAGCGCCTGCTCTGCCTACGCCACCCCATTCGCCGATACGGTGATCCGCACTACCCCATTCGCGGGAATCGGCATGAGCCTGCGACATGGCCATCATCCACCCACCCGACCGCATCTGCTCCAGACGTTCCCCGAGATCCCTGGGCTAGCCTGGACTTATCTCGACCTGTATGGACTTATCTCGACCTATCTGGCTTGATCCCGGCGAGTCAGCCGGCGAAGGGCCGTCAAGCCCTCAAGGAGAAGAGGGGGGTGTCCGCGAGGCGCCGAGGGTCGGAGCGCGGGCAGCAGCGGCCTTCTCCCCTCCTCCTGGGAGCAACGAGCACTCCCGAAGCAGCACCTCTGCGTGCAGGGTCTGACGGTGGGCAACGCTTGCTCGGCGAGCCGAGGCGGGGGCCTCGGCGACGCGCCCTGCCTGGCGAGCGGATGGCGTGCTGCCGCGCTCCGCGGGGCGCCTGGGAGAGGCTCGTGACGCTGAGGTGTTCGGCGACGGGGGCGTGCTGCTCAGCGTTTGGCGCCCAATGCGTGGTGGGCCAGAACCGCCGGCGGCGCGGCACGCCGAGCCGGAGCTCCCGACAGCCATCGAGACAGGGGCCACGAGGCTGCCGCCGCAGATCAGACGAGGCCAGGGCCAGGACAAGATCGGACCAGGGAGCGAGTGGGGATCTCTGAGACCTGGCGGCTCCGGAGGATGCATCGGGCGCCGCGGCCGTACCAGAGGAGGAGGAGGAGGAGGCGGAGGAGGAGGAGAGGAAGATGAGGATGAGGAGGAGGAGGAGGAGGACGACGACGAGGAGGAGGAAGAGGAGGGATTCATCCCGGCCCTGGGCCCGCCCGAAAAGAATGGCCCCCCTGGGGGGAAGGGGGGGGGCACCCGCTCCCGCCGCCGGGCCTGGCGAATCGAAACTCCATCGAGCCCGCTCGAGGCCTCCCCTCTCCACCCCCGCGGCCTTCCCCGAAAGCCCCCTCTTCCGGTGACCTGCTGGTAATCTGTAGGTTGGCCAATCGCGCCCCGTGATGCGTGACGCGCGACGAGCGACTATCTGCGCGGCCTCGCGCCCCCGTGCCACCCCTTTGGAGAAGGACAACCGATCTGACCCAGACCGCGACGCGCGAAGCGCGATTATCATCGCGCCCCCGCGAGCGATGTCGCCCTGACGCAAAACTAAAGAAACCAACCTGACACTGGGCTAAGAACACGTACGCACACACGCACACACACACATACATTTACACACACACACACACACACACGCACACACGCACACGCAGGCACACACACACACGCACACGCACACGCACACACACACACACACACACACACACGCGCGCACACACACACATACACACACACACACACAACACACACGCGCACACGCACGCACACGCACACGCACACGCACACGCACACGCACACCCACACACACACACACACACACACACACCACACACGCGCGCGCGCGCGCGCACGCACGCACACGCACACGCACACGCACACGCACACGCACACGCACACGCACACGCACACGCACACGCACACGCACACGCACACGCACACGCACACGCACACGCACACGCATACGCACACGCACACGCACACGCACACACGAAGATACGACTGGCCACTAGCCATGGGCCACCGAGAGCAAGGCGTGGCACGTCAGCCCTACACGAAGGTAGGGAACCAACTAATCCGCCATCGTGCTGGGAGGCACGGAATTTAGTGTCCAGAGGTCCTTTCTCAAGTTTTTCTGAGTTGGGTATTGTAAAATCTCGTATGGGCCCAAAACCCAGAATGTCGGGCGCACGCCGGGTTTGTCGCGTGTCTCTTTGGGCTTTCGGCTCCAAGACGGCCCAAGAGAGCCCGGAAACGGCCCAAGAGGCGCCCAAGACGGCCCATGAGGGTCCCAGGACGGAACCGACGATTCGAACCTTCCGCCCCAAGATGCCCCCAGGCTGCCCCAGGAGGCCCCAGAGAGGTCACAGGGGGCTCCCAAAAGGCCCCCACGAGGCCACAAGAGGCTCCCAGGAGGCCCAACAGGCTCCCAAACAGCCCCCAAGGGGCTTCACAATTACCTCCAAAAAGCTCCAGAGAAGCTTCCTACTAGATCCCAACGAACCTCCGAAAAGCCTCGGACACCAACCCGGGCTCGTTGGCGGGATGAGTCGAAGGCCACCAGATCCGCCGCCCCCTGTTGATTTATCACAAGGGCGCCTGGCATGCTCGATGTTTGGTTGTTTCTAATGTTGTAGTTATTAAAACATAGATGAACATAAAATAAAACAAACAGAAACAAAAAAATCGCCCGTGGCTTCGGCCCAGCGCGCCAGCCACCCGGAAAGCCGCACAGGCCGCTCAACCTCCACAAAGAATCCTCCCAAGACGGCCCCAGATGGCCTCCAAGAAATTCAAGACGGTCAAGATGGCCCGAGATGGCCTCCAAGATGCCTCCAAGACGGCCAAGATGGCCCCAAGAGAGCCCAAGATGGCCCAAGATGCACCCCAGAAGGCCTAAGCTGGCCTCAAGATGGCCCAGAACGCCCCGAAGAAGCCCATAAGACGGCCAAAGAGGCCTCCAAGAGGTTCTCTAGGAAAGCTCGAAGACGCCAAATTCATTCATCGTCATTGGGTCATTTGAAGGATTTGGGCACCTGCTTCAAAACTGCCTTCCGACGGCCCAAGACTGCCCAAGAGGCTCCCAAGATAGCCCCGAGATCGCCCAAGAGGCCTCAGAACGGCCCCAAAGACTCCCAAGACGGCCCACAAAAGGGCGCCAAGACGGTCCAAGAGGCCTCCAAGGCGCTCAAGATGGACTTCAAGACGGCCCTGAAGCGCCCCAAGAGGGCCCCGAGACAACTCATAAAGGCTCCCAAGACGGCTTCCGAGAGGAGAGAGAGAGAGAGAAGGTGGGAGGAGATGGAGGCGAGAACCTCCTTAGCCTCTCCAGAGACTCGCCGGGGGCCTCAAAGGTAACGGGAACCGAAAACGAGAAATGAGGGGAAGAAGCGGAAATGCAGAGGAGTGCCAGAAAGACTCGAATATATCTAAATAGCACCCGAACTATACGATGTTCCCCATATGTGGGCCTCCTCGGGCCCTCCAAATGCTCTCCGGGGGACTCTTGGAACAAGATGGGTAGCGGGACCCGAAAATGAAAAAGGAGAAGAGGAAACGAAACTCCAAAAAGGTGCCAGGGAATATCCGGTCGGAAGACCCAACCATTTGCAGTTGTAAGTAACGCAATTGTTGGTATCGACTTCGGTGGAGCTCCCTATGGGGCACGAGGGCGCGGTGGTGTCATGCGAGCGCAGCCGCTGGGGCCTTCGGTGAAGCTCCCCATGGAGCCACGAAACGTATGAGGGGTGTGCCGAAATGGGTGCGGTGGTGCCATGCGAGCGCAGCCATTGGGGCCTTCGGTGGAGCTCCTTGTGGGGCCACGAAACGTGTGAAGGGTGTGCCGACATGGGCGCGGTGGTGCCATGCGGGCCGTGGCACTGGGGCCTTCGGTGGAGCTCCCTATGGGGCCACGAAGCGTGTGAGGGGTGTCCCGAAATCGGTGCGGTGGCGTCATGCGAGCGCAGCCACTGGGGCCTCTGGTGGGACACCCTAGGGGGCCACGAAACGTGTGAGATGCGTGCCGAAATGGGCGCGGTGGTGTCATGCGACCGCAGCCATTGGGGCCCTCGGTGGAGCTCCCTATGGAGCCACGAAACGTGTGAGGGGTGTGCTGACATGGGCACGGTGGTGTCATGCGAACGCATTCATTGAAGCCTTCGGTGGGGCTCCTCATGGGGCCACGAAACGTGTGAGGTGTGTGCCGAAATGGGCGCGATGGTGTCATGCGAGCGCAGCCACTGGGGCCTTCGGTGGAGCTTCTCATGGGGCCACGAAACGTGTGATGCCGAAATGGGTGCGGTGCAACCATGCGAGCGCAGCCACTGGGTCCTTCGGTGGAGCTCCCTGGGGGGGCACGAAACGTGTGAGGGGTGTGCCGCGAATATGTGCGGTGGGCGCATGCGAGCGCAGCCACTGGGGCCTTCGGTGGGGCTCCCTGTGGAGCCACGAAACGTGTGAGGGGTGTGCCGAAATGGGCGCGGTGGAATCATGCGAGCGCAGCCACTGGGGCTGTCGGTGGAGCTCCCTATGGGGACACCAAACGTGTGAAGTGTGTGCCGAAATCGGTGCGGTGGTGTCATGCGGGCGCAGCCACTGGGACCTTCGGTGGGGCGCACTATGGGGCCACGAAGCGTAGGAGGGGTGTGCCAAAGTTAGGGGGTGATGGGAGGAGGGAGGAGGAAGAGGAGGAGGAGGAGGAGGAGGAGGATGAGGAGGAGGAGGAGGAGGAGGGAAGAGGAGGAGGAGGAGGAGGAGGAGAGGAACCCGGGGACTCTCTCTTCAAGACGAGAACGCAACACCAAAGGATGGTTGGGACCAAAAAAGGATATGCCAAAATAGTAGCCAAACTGTACGGTGTTACACATGTGCGGGCCCCCTCGGGCTCTCAAAGGGCTCTTCGAAGGGCCTCTTGGAGGAAGGGCAACGGGAACCGAAAACGAGAAATCAAAAGAAGAAACGACAATCCGGAGGAGTGCCCGAAATTAGCCTGTCGAAGGACCCAACCATATGCAGTTGTGAACACCGTCGCTGTATGCACTGCATTCGGAAAAGCTCCCTACAAGGCCAC